CTCGTAGCATGTTAAGATGTTCCCCACTCGTAGCATGTTAAGATGTTCCCCTCTCGTAGCATGTTAAGATGTTCCCCACTCGTAGCATGTTAAGATGTTCCCCTCTCGTAGCATGTTAAGATGTTCCCCACTCGTAGCATGTTAAGATGTGCCCCTCTCGTAGCATGTTAAGATGTGCCCCTCTCGTAGCATGTTAAGATGTGCCCCTCTCGTAGCATGTTAAGATGTGCCCCTCTCGTAGCATGTTAAGATGTGCCCCTCTCGTAGCATGTTAAGATGTGCCCCTCTCGTAGCATGTTAAGATGTGCCCCTCTCGTAGCATGTTAAGATGTGCCCCTCTCGTAGCATGTTAAGATGTTCCCCTCTCGTAGCATGTTAAGATGTGCCCCTCTCGTAGCATGTTAAGATGTGCCCCTCTCGTAGCATGTTAAGATGTTCCCCTCTCGTAGCATGTTAAGATGTTCCCCACTCGTAGCATGTTAAGATGTTCCCCTCTCGTAGCTCTCGTAGCATGTTAAGATGTTCCCCTCTCGTAGCATGTTAAGATGTTCCCCTCTCGTAGCATGTTAAGATGTTCCCCTCTCGTAGCATGTTAAGATGTTCCCCTCTCGTAGCATGTTAAGATGTTCCCCACTCGTAGCATGTTAAGATGTTCCCCTCTCGTAGCATGTTAAGATGTTCCCCTCTCGTAGTTCTCGTAGCATGTTAAGATGTTCCCCTCTCGTAGCATGTTAAGATGTTCCCCTCTCGTAGCATGTTAAGATGTTCCCCTCTCGTAGCATGTTAAGATGTTCCCCTCTCGTAGCTCTCGTAGCATGTTAAGATGTTCCCCTCTCGTAGCATGTTAAGATGTGCCCCTCTCGTAGCATGTTAAGATGTGCCCCTCTCGTAGCATGTTAAGATGTGCCCCTCTCGTAGCATGTTAAGATGTTCCCCTCTCGTAGCATGTTAAGATGTTCCCCTCTCGTAGCATGTTAAGATGTTCCCCTCTCGTAGCATGTTAAGATGTGCCCCTCTCGTAGCATGTTAAGATGTTCCCCTCTCGTAGCATGTTAAGATGTTCCCCTCTCGTAGCATGTTAAGATGTTCCCCTCTCGTAGCATGTTAAGATGTGCCCCTCTCGTAGCATGTTAAGATGTTCCCCTCTCGTAGCATGTTAAGATGTTCCCCTCTCGTAGCATGTTAAGATGTGCCCCTCTCGTAGCATGTTAAGATGTTCCCCTCTCGTAGCATGTTAAGATGTTCCCCTCTCGTAGCATGTTAAGATGTTCCCCTCTCGTAGCATGTTAAGATGTTCCCCACTCGTAGCATGTTAAGATGTTCCCCTCTCGTAGCATGTTAAGATGTTCCCCTCTCGTAGCATGTTAAGATGTTCCCCTCTCGTAGCATGTTAAGATGTTCCCCTCTCGTAGCATGTTAAGATGTTCCCCTCTCGTAGCATGTTAAGATGTTCCCCTCTCGTAGCATGTTAAGATGTTCCCCTCTCGTAGCATGTTAAGATGTGCCCTCTCGTAGCATGTTAAGATGTTCCCCTCTCGTAGCATGTTAAGATGTTCCCCACTCGTAGCATGTTAAGATGTTCCCCACTCGTAGCATGTTAAGATGTTCCCCTCTCGTAGCATGTTAAGATGTTCCCTTCTCGTAGCATGTTAAGATGTTCCCCACTCGTAGCATGTTAAGATGTTCCCCACTCGTAGCATGTTAAGATGTTCCCCTCTCGTAGCATGTTAAGATGTTCCCCTCTCGTAGCATGTTAAGATGTTCCCCACTCGTAGCATGTTAAGATGTTCCCCTCTCGTAGCATGTTAAAATGTTCCCCTCTCGTAGCATGTTAAGATGTTCCCCTCTCGTAGCTCTCGTAGCATGTTAAGATGTTCCCCACTCGTAGCATGTTAAGATGTTCCCCTCTCGTAGCATGTTAAGATGTTCCCCTCTCGTAGCATGTTAAGATGTTCCCCACTCGTAGCATGTTAAGATGTTCCCCTCTCGTAGCATGTTAAGATGTTCCCCTCTCGTAGCTTGTTAAGATGTTCCCCTCTCGTAGCATGTTAAGATGTTCCCCTCTCGTAGCATGTTAAGATGTTCCCCTCTCGTAGCATGTTAAGATGGGCCTCCTCTCGTAGCATGTTAAGATGGACCTCCTCTCGTAGCATGTTAAGATGGGCCTCCTCTCGTAGGATGTTAAGATGGGCCTCCTCTCGTAGCATGTTAAGATGGGCCTCCTCTCTCAGGATATGTAGAAGACGTCCCACTCGATAACAATACCCCTCAAGTTGGATTTAAAATATCTAAGAGGAACCATTAAGCCCCCAAGAGATAGTTTCAAATCCTGCCGAAGGTGTGTGTGTGTGTAAATCACCATTCCGCTCGCTCACGATCGTTCCATTAGCATGAGATGTGAAACATGAAGTAACACTTATGAGAGAAAAATCACAATATTGCACATTTATCCCATTTAACTGGGCTCTAGGAGGCTCGAACCTGGGACCCCCCCACCCACGGGTATGTGAGACCGGAGTTCTATCGATCGGCTTCTATCCTCTATCGACTCTAAAAAAAAGCTCTACCTTTTTTTTTTTGCACATTTAGCACCTGGAATCATTTAATGAAACATTTATTTCTGAAATATTTACTCAGAGACTTCAAAAAGGTGAATAAAAGACTGATGTTAACATTTAACAACGACACAAGGAAGAGAATAGAGGTTTCAAGCTTTTTTGTGAGTGAAACGATGAAAGCGTTTCCAAGGAGAATGTCAGGTCATTGTACTGTGCTTTGATGAAGAAAACAATGAGTAGTGATTGTTGTATATCCCCCTAACCCGTCAAGCAGAGCAGGGTAGGGATATATAACATATATGCAATTATATATAGGGGTATATATATAATTGCAGATTTCCTTGAAGAAATGCAAGCTGGAAGAATCTTTCTGGTTTATTTTCTGGTGTGTGTGTGTGTGTGTGTGTGTGTGTGTGTGTGTGTGTGTGTGTGTGTGTGTGTGTGTGTGTGTGTGTGTGTGTGTGTGTGTGTGTACTCACCTAGTTGTGTTTGCGGGGGTTGAGCTCTGGCTCTTTGGTCCCGCCTCTCAACCGTCAATCAACAGGTGTACAGATTCATGAGCCTACTGGGCTCTGTCATATCTACACTTGAAACTGTGTATGGAGTCAGCCTCCACCACATCACTTCCTAATGCATTCCTAATGTGTGTGTGTGTGTGTGTGTGTGGGTGTGTGTGTGTGTGTGTGTGTGGGTGTGTGTGTGTGTGTGTGTATTCACTTATTTGTACTCATCTATTTGTGCCTGGAGGATCGAGCATTGACTCTTGGATCCCGCCTTTCTAGCCATCGGTTGTTAATTGCAATGACTCCTGTCCTATTTCCTTATCATATCTAGTCGTGTGTGTGTGTGTGTGTGTGTGTGTGTGTGTGTGTGTGTGTGTGTGTATGTGTGTGTGTGTGTGTGCGTGCGCGTCTGAGTATGTGTTGTGCGTTTGTGTATTTAAGCACGCCCACATGAATTCGTCCATGCGCCCTACAGCGGACATGTATTTGCAGTCATACATACAGGACATAATTCTTGACTTAAACTGCTAATAATCCCTGGGAGACCGATCACCATAATTACCGGGCGAGTAGTAACTACCTCGTCTCCCATTACCGGAACTACTAACTGCTTAGGCTCTGTGCTTGCGCGCCTCGGGGCACACATTAAGGTAGGCCTACAGGCATACTTCAGCAGAATGTTCCTAGAACACTTCTAAATGAGTCTCTGCTTGTCTGTAGATCGCCAACCTTTCTCTCTCTCTCTCTCTCTCTCTCTCTCTCTCTCTCTCTCTCTCTCTCTCTCTCTCTCTCTCTCTCTCTCTCTCTCTCTCTCTCTCTCTCTCTCTCTCTCTCTGGGGGGTAGTAGTTGCTATAGGAACATTTACTCTTTCTTCGGGTTGGGCCAGTGGTGGGGAGCTGCTACGAGGGTTAGCCAGTGGTGTGGAGCAGCCACAGGGTTAACCAGTAGTGGACCAGGTGTTGTATTAGCCCTGCCACAGACCAGGACAAAGGGAGGTATTGACCGGTGGTGGTGTGACTAATGGTGTCAATAATGGAGCCGGTGCTGGTGTTGGTGGGGAGCGTCTCCCCCACACTAGTGTCCGGACACAATACCTCCCCCACACTAGTGTCCGGACACAATACCTCCCCCACACTAGTGTCCGGACACAATACCTCTCCCACACTAGTGTCCGGACACAATACCTCCCCCACACTAGTGTCCGGACACAATACCTCCCCCACACTAGTGTCCGGACACAATACCTCCCCAACACTAGTGTCCGGACACAATACCTCCCCAACACTAGTGTCCGGACACAATACCTCCCCAACACTAGTGTCCGGACACAATACCTCCCCCACACCAGGTTATGGACACTGCTTGTGTTCACAACCACACAGGAAAAAGGACAATACACAGGACAATACCTCACAGATGTAGTGTTAAACTCGTATATACATTTCATGAGGATACAATATCTACTACATCAGATATTATACATGTTTTATTTTCGAATTTGTAAATGGGACATTCTATTCTTCACTACCACACAGGACAGGAATAGATTCATAAGAGATGCAGCAAAAAAAAGAGATCAACGTGGCCAAGCAATTTTTGGATAACGTGTTAGAATGTCTTCCAACGTAACAAGATATTCAACTGGCATTCAATAATATAGGATTAGAGTGTATGTTTTACGAAGGTTCGTCACAGAGTTTACAAGCTGAGTGCTCTGGGAAGGGAAGGGAACTATCAGGAGAAAGCGCCTAGCCATTAGGACTATATAGCACTGGGAAGGTGGCTCAGGAGAAGGATTTGGGATGGGACGGAGGGGAAAAGGAATAGTGCCCAACCACTTGTGGACGGTCGGGCATTGAACGCCGACCTGTGCCTAGAGCCAAGGCGAGCTTCGTACAATGACTTCATCACATGGTACAAATACTCCGCTAACAATACAATTGCATATTGTTACAGAAGTTGTCATTGCTTTCAGGTCTTGTAGGATTTTTTTGTAATTCTGAGTCACCATCTGTATTTTCTTTCTTGAATGGTTCATTAGCCAATCGATCTACAAACTCATGCTTACCAACATAGGATCGAAAGCTCACAAATTTTATAAAAACTAAATTTATACAATTTTTGATTTATTTAAAAAAAACATGTTATCGTTGGTAAAAGATCCCATTCGGGCATTGGTTACAATGGAGGTTTATTTAAAGGCTGCAGAGGGCTTTTAGACTCACAAAATCCCACTCCAAACCCCCATTGAGTTTAAGGTTCTCCTCAGCGGGAAAATAAATACCCAATGGCTCAGTTTGTGGTGTGTTGTATTTGCCCAGTCGTTCAATCTCTGCACTCTATACTCAATCACTCACTCTAGACTCAATCACTCACTCTAGATTCAATCACTCACTCTAGACTCAATCACTCACTCAAGACTCAATCACTCACTCTAGATTCAATCACTCACTCTAGACTCAATCACTCACTCTAGACTCAATCACTCACTCTAGACTCAATCACTCACTCTAGACTCAATCACTCACTCTAGACTCAATCACTCACTCTAGACTCAATCACTCACTCTAGACTCAATCACTCACTCAAGACTCAGGTTCTGCCCGAAACGCTGCGCGTACTAGTGGCTTTACAAGAATGTAATTACTATGCTATGTATCCTCACAATCCCAATGTACCTTCTTGTATATATATAAATAAATAAATAAATAAATAAAAATCAATAAATCATTTCATTCGCTTTATATACTGCACATCCAGAACCTGTTTCAGCCGGGTAGCACTGCAGTTTCAAGCAAATCTATAACACTAAAACAGTGAAGAAAAGAACTAATTTATGTATTAACCGTATTCAAAACCAATTTTTCGGTTGCAACTTTCTTCCTGCCTCAAGGAGCTGCATGTAAGGTTCTATTGCAATATAACAGCAGAACATTGCATACGCCACCTAGAGAAAGGGTGTAGAATACATCCGAGGATTCCGATCTTTTTTCAAATACACTTCTTTCGAGCACTACGGCATTGTGGTCCGTCTCTCCACTAACACTATGCATCGCCGTAGACGCAAGTGCCAGAAATATTCAATGTCTCAAACCAACAAACTTCTATGAGGTTTCTGGTGATAGAAACTTGTGGTGACGAGGTAGACACGTCCAGAGAGATCAGCTGGAGTACAGCTAGGGGGTCGAATACCAGGGGCAGGGAGGACGGGGGGGGGGATAGAGGGGAGGTCGAGCACTAGGGGTAGAGAGGTGAGGGGGAGAGAGAGGGTCGAGCACTAGGGGTAGAGAGGAGAGGGGGAGAGAGAGGGTCGAGCACTAGGGGTAGAGAGGAGAGGGGGGGAAAGAGAGGGTCGAGCACCAGGGGGGGGAGCAGGAAGGATGAGAGGGGGGGGATAAAGGCAGTCGAGCATTTATTCTTTCTGTGAGAGGTCGAGTAACCAGTTTTGAGAGGGGGTGTGTGGTGGAGGATATCGAGCACTCGGTGTAAGGAGACGCGGGGGAGGGGGGGGGGGGAAAGTAGGGGAAGGTCGAATACCGGTAGTAGGGAACGGTGGGGAGTAGGGGGTGCGGATGTGGGGGGGAAGGGGGTTAGAGAGGAAGTGGTATGATGGATAGGGGGAGAAATCTGACTGGATAATGGACAGGGAGGCGGTTTGGGAGGGGTGACTGTCAGGAAAGGGGTAGGGGGGAGGTGGGAGGGGGGGAGAAGGGGGGACGTGGGAGGGGGAAGGGGAGAAAGAAGTCTATGTAGCAAGGGAGATAGTGTCGAGGGCTGTGATAGCGACTGCTTCAGGGCAGTGATAGCGACTGCTTCAGGGCAGTGATAGCGACTGCTTCAGGGCAGTGATAGCGACTGCTTCATGTTCACACTGTAATTGAAGACTAGGAGGTGGGGGATGGAAGTGAGGGGTGGGGGGGGGGAGAGAGAGAGGGGGGAGGAGAGCAGGTGGGTGAGAGGGTGAGACAGGTCAGGGAGAGGAGTTGGGACAGGTAAAGGCAGGAGGGGACCAGGTGAAGAGGAAAGTGAGGAAGGGGCTGGGCAGGTAGAGGGGGGGAGGGGTAGGCGAAGCAGGTGGTGGTGGTGGGAGAGGGGGGGATGAGAGATGGTGAGGCTGTAGGGGAGGGTTGAAGGACGAGACAGGTAGGCAAGACCAGGGAAGAGGGGTGGAGGGGGTGACAAACATCTCCCCCTCCCCCCTCCCCCTGCCCCCCTCCCCCAATCCCCCCCAAACATCACTTCGACCCTCTCACCTTCCAGGAAAGGTTGACGAACCTCACTCATTATAATCTATAATGAGATTATATAATCATTATAACCTCACAACTCATGTACACATATTCTCTTTTTTTTCATTTAAAATATATTGATCGTGTCAACTCATTACGTGTATATGTATGCGCATACACACGCTCATACTCAACGAGTACTTGTCTACAATGTATACGTGTGTGTGGGTCGTGCTTCAGCTCCTGGGTGTCCACGTTCGAGGTCTCGGTCATCTGATATAGAAATACCAGTTTAATTTTTTTTTATTATTTTCCCCCCTTACCAATCTTCCACAGAGAAGAAATGTTGTTTTTCCTTATCAAACAACACCCTCCCTTTCCCTCTGAAGATTTTTTACATCACGACTATGTCTCCTCTTTCTTCATTTTGTTTCCTTGTTTTCAATCTTCATCTTCGTCTCAAGGGGCCTTACACTGAACGTCTGTCAGAACCTACAGTCTCTCACCCTTTCTGTATGTTTGAATCTGTCTAAATTGAATTTGTCTAAAATGAAAAAAAAAATCGGTGTTTGAATTTGTCTAAAATTAAAAAAAAAATCGGTGTTTGAATTTGTCTAAAATGAAAAAAAAAATCGGTGTTTGAATTTGCCTAAAATCTTCTCTCTGTTTTCAACTCTAATGAGGCATTGTAAATCTTGGATTACATAGCTCTTATGGGGCCTTTTTAAGAGCACTCGTAGGCAAGATTATATCTGGTCTTGTGCCTTCTGTGGCAACAGAATGTGGCAACAGAAGATGAGGGGGGGAGGAGAAGTGCCATCTTCTGTTGCCTCTGTGGTCACCACCTCTTGCTGACCTCCTTCCTCGTCTCTAATTGTAAAAATGTTCTGAAATATCTTGCTGATATTTTTTACAGATCTCTTGCTTTTTTAACTCTCTCCATCGCCTCTCTTGTCAGTCAGGTCACCTTGTTCTCATATATATATATATATATATATATATATATATATATATATATATATATATATATATATATATATATATATATATATGCCTATACTTGCATAAACCACAAGTGAAGATTAACAATCTTTGGACAACACCCACCAGTGGGACTCGAACCCAGAAAGCACAACTACCTTCCAGTAGCTGCCATAACTAGTATGCTTTAACCCACTACACCATCAGACCCTCGAAGTCTCTACTTCTTTTGTAGGGTCTGATGGTGTAGTGGGTTAAAGCATACTAGTTATGGCAGCTACTGGAAGGTAGTTGTGCTTTCTGGGTTCGAGTCCCACTGGTGGGTGTTGTCCAAAGATTATATATATATATATATATATAGAGAGAGAGAGAGAGAGAGATATAGATATATATATATATATATATATAGAGAGAGAGAGAGAGAGAGAGAGAGAGAGAGAGAGAGAGAGAGAGAGAGAGAGAGAGAGAGAGATATATATATATATATATATATATATATATATATAAAGACCTTCCTCCTGTGGGGTAATTGGCCTCCTGTAGTTTAGGTATTATTATGTTCTAACCAATCAGCTGTTAAACATCTGATCTAATTACATTCGACCCTTATGATTGATATCGTTTTATGTTTTCTTATTATTCAACCGTTTATTAAATATTTTATACACAACGTTCTTCAACATTTCTGTGTTTCTAATTGAGAAAATCTGGAATGCCTCTTAGTATGAAAGTTTCTGATACAGTGCTTGAATAAAATATGGGTCTAACCACTTGGACTAGTTGGTATAGCGTCGATCTGGCTTCTTGCAGGTCAGCGTTCGATCCCCGACGGTCTGCGTAAATAAACATCGTCCCCCCCCCTAACCCTTAGTACTTCTATCCCAACCATATTCAATAACTCCCAAAAACCCAAATACAAGTAAAAATACGTCAATTTATTCCCGATAACCGTGTTAGCTGTATATTGTGTCAAACCAAAATGCCATATTTTCTTTATGAAATCAAATTAATCATTTCTGTGGATTTTGTACGTAGTGCTCATGTCTCCACAGGCTTGCCCTTAGCTCCACGTAGCTGTGCGACTCGCCGTATCTATGACCGTCGGGTCTACAGCATCTGCGTCTGCCAAACTTCAAGTTTGGCAGACGCCAAATGCTCTCAAGTTTAATTCTCTCAAGTTTGGTGTCGTTACTCTTAAGGTGGGGTTGCCACATTGTCGTGTGAGTGAAAATTTACATATTGGATCGCGTTTCTGTGTGTGAGTTTTGCGAGTTTGTTCATGTGTGTGTGAGTGTGCAATTTCTTTGCATGATAGTGTGTGCGAGTGACTGTGTGTGTGTGTGTGCGTGTGTGTGTGTGTGTGTGTGTGTGTGTGTGTGTGTGTGTGTGTGTGGATGTGCAGTTCTGTTTTAATAAGAGCCTCCGGAGAACGCCTCAGTGATTGGCAAAAGGAAATAATTGGACGAACAAACTACAGGAGCGGAGTGTGTGTGTGTGTGTGTGTGTGTGTGTGTGTGTGTGTGTGTGTGTGTGTGAGTGTGTGTGTGTGTGTGTGTCTGTGTGTGTGTGTGTGTGTGTGTGTGTGTGTGTGTGTGTGTGTGTGTGTGTGAGTGTGTGTTGGAGTGATGGTGACGAGGGGGGACATAGTGTTGGAGAGCGGATGGTTGTTGAGGGAAAATGATGGTGGTTGTTGGAGAAGTGACCTACCACTGAGTTGAGCGTGGATGAGCGGCCCGGCCTGTGGATAGACACGGATGGCATTCACTGTTTGATGGCTGTTGAACAAGTGAACAAGCAGTCTTTGATGTCAAGAACCGCTGAGAGAAGCGCAGGTCGAGGGCCGGCCCCCGGCGCTACGGGTTCCACCGAGAGCCTTATAGGCTTTGCCTGCGTCTACCTGTGATCTGTTTCTAGAGTTCTACGACTCCCACAGCCGGGTGGAGTGGGGGAAGGCTTGGCCAGAGGAATCATCAAGTACTTACATCACTAATTACGGAACCTGTTCATCTTTCCTCGATTCGTGGAGGTTTAATCTGTGTTTATTTAACACAGTTTATTAAACACAGTCAATTAAAAGCTTACGAGCTCCTAAGGTCGTAAACTGCTTTAATAAATACAAACTAAGCCGCCATGACAGAGATAAGAGGTATAAATCTCGTAAGTGGAAACGTAAATCCTTAAATAATCCTGGCCAAAAAAAATATTGTTGATAATTTGATTCATAAGGCTGTTGCTGGCTGCCGCCCGCACGATCAATCGCATCCCAATTGATCAGGCATTTCCAACAGCAATTTGTCTAGTTTCGTCTTGGAAAATCTCAACTTTTACTCTGGCAATGTTGCGTGTATCGTCTACAAGAAGGTGGCAAAAGTCTTGCGCTTTTGAGCCCACACGAGCGAAACAGCATAACCAAAACGACTATTATTTCCGTTACGATTTAGTAACGAAATAACGTTGCTAGAGCGTTGTTGGTTTCGTTACCGTTGGCTGGGAAGTCCACACAGCTCAGAGGGGCGGCCCGAGACGAGTCAGTTTGTGCTAGGAACTTGCCACCCGGCTCCTCGATACGTCGGCTTTAAGAGTACGAGCTAAAGGCGACCCTCCAGGTGGTGTAGACTAGGGGGTTCCCTCCAGCTGGTGTAGACAGGGGGGGTCCCCCCCGGAAGGAGGTGTAGACTAGGGGGTTCCCTCTAGGTGGTGTAGACTAGGGGGTTCCCTCCAGCTGGTGTAGACTGGGGGGTTCCCTCCAGGAGGTGTAGACTAGGGGGTTCCCTCTAGGTGGTGTAGACTAGGGGGTTCCCTCCAGCTGGTGTAGACAGGGGGGTTCCCTCCAGGAGGTGTAG